ATCACTAAAGCCTGTATATAACTAATTGTTTTTACACATTTCATAAATCTAATCATTAAATCACTTGGAGTGGTTTTAAGTGCCATTACTATTACACACGAGTAATTTAAGACACGTTATAGTGACCCTACTGCACATTTATAACATATTTACGCTAGGTTACTGTACATATATTGCGTTGCCTAATGTAAATTTCCATCGAGGTGCAAATAACTAGTTCAGGTGTCGGTATGATAAATACAATTTGAAAGTGTATTGCACGTATTTAAATCAGTTACTCCTGCACAAGGTCCAGTCTAGACTTAGCCTTAAAAAAGGCCAGGTTAAAAATGTCAAGAATACACTCATGTATGAAGAAACTAATGCCTGTGGAGGAGGCGAAAAAGAGTTTTTATTTATCGTACCAAGTGACGGGACGAATAAGTCGTGCGCCTGGTGGTTAGCGACACGCCTGTCCGTAACAGTTGCAGTGCCTCTCCAAAGGCACTGTCACCCTTGAGACATATTAAGTCTCATGTGCCTGTAATTTCATCAGCACCTTTAAGCTTTCAAAACCGAAACGCAGTAATGCTCACTGTGGCGGACTGTATCAATGGGTTCGGGTGGGTGCGATCTACGAGTGAGCAAGTAAAGTAAAGTAAGTAGGTACTTACAGTTTATTAATTTGTTACAAAATACGTACCGATATCAATCCAAAAAACAGAAACAATAGTAAGAAAACGCGCCAAAAAAAAAAGGATGGTGACATACCGCGTTTTTGTGATCCAGTGTTTTTGACGAGGTGTATTAAAGTGAGCTATCAATACTTGTGATTCATTATCATAACAACAAAAAAGCTAATTAAGGACAGCCTGTAGAATCTGGGGTTATAAAGTTGATATACAGACATTGTGTATTTCGCATCAGATGTTTGTTCGTAGTAGCAGAAAACAACTTTTTGGTTTGCTCCTACAAATAATAAAGAACTTGCTGAATATTCCCTAAATCCGCCAAACTCTGCCACATTTAATACAACGTTAAAATGCTTTCTGAGCAGTTGCCGCTTCCTGCTTTTTTTTAGAGAAGTATTAGCAAATGTTCTGACAAATTTCGATGACAGTGCTACTTAAGTACTGTCCACGAATGAGTTAATGTAATATATTCTATATATTTGTAATACTTATGTAAGCATCGGTACTTATTGAATTTATCTGTTACGTTATTATACTTCTCCACATACATCTTCCCTGGCCAGCAGATTAAGCTTCGCTATATACGCAGTCCGCAGAATACGTGAGCTTACCGATGTTAGTACTGCTAGGCTATTTTACTTTAGTCACTTCCATGGTATAATGTCCTACGGGATTCTCGTCTGGAGTAAAGCGGCAGATTTCAAAACATATTAGTATTGTAAAAACGAGCTATTCGTTCTGTGCACCATCTAGGTTCTCGGGTTTCTCTCAAAGAAAAGTTTATGGAGACTGGTATCATGACTATAGTCACACATCACAGTACATTTACTCAAATATTTTATATGCCCGTAAAAATATAGATAATTTCAGTAAGAAAGAAGATATCCTTAATATTGACCTTAGAGCTAAGTTCGAACTCATGGTACCACGTTTCGTTTAACCAGGGTAAACGACTCTTTTATGGGGAACTGTACAATAAGATTCCGGAGCATGTATTAAGATTATCATTTCCTAAGTTCGAAAACTACATTAAAAATATTTTGATTGAAAAGTCATATCACAAAATTGAAAACTACGTGTTAGATAAAGATATATGGAAAGACGACGAGCAATCCCTAGAGTTTCTGCCTTGTTCTTTTCAGGGAAGAGGCGTAGTGCACGAGCAATAGCTTAAATGTGACGTTTTCAAGTGTAAATTTATTTTACCTATGGAATAAATGATTTTTTGACTTTGACTCCCTCTTTCTTTCTTGAACACTGTTGCCCGCTTATTAATTCTGCTCTGACAGCCTTTTATAATTCATATTTCTTTTGTTTTTATTTGATGCAATAAAACGTATTAAGAAACGATGATTACAATTAAACACAAATAATGAGAAACACTGGTACATTGCCCAAATCGACAACAAACTATCTAACAGGCGCCTTGGCAAGGCCCTTGAAAAAATGGTCATTTATCCATTATCCTTGGACTTGACAACAATTAGTATAATAAAATATAGCTCGTTAAACAATGGAAATGCAAATCACAGAAATACCTCAAACTCAAGGTGGGTCCGCCTATTTAATGTAGTAGTGCTAATTGAGGTGTCATCTGTGATAGAGAAGGCCGTGGATTTGGATTATTTCCTTTGCTTTGTTCTTATTTTCTGTGAGAAAAATAAACACGACGCTATTTGCTGGCATAATAGAAGTCATACTTTTAAAAAAATATGTAGATTCCAATTTTGAAATAATCATTAAAAATTAAAAATCTTTTTTCTTTATATTCAAACAGGCACGCAGACGACCCTCTCGAGAAAAGAAGCGGGTTTTTGAAGTTAGAGTTTTACATGAATTAATTTTTAGTATAATTATATTAAAGTGTCAAATACATGTTTATTTCGTAGGGAAATAGCGGGTTTTTGTAGTTGCAGTGTTTTACACAAATATTCTTTTAGTTTGAGTAGGTTTTTTGTTTGTTATTATTATTACGAGTTTAAGCTGATATTTCTATAACCAAAGCTCAATAAATGAAAACGATCAACCCGATAAAACAAATTAACTAAAAATAAACTATTTACTTAAAAACCCTTTCGTAAGAAACATAAAAGAATCATCATCCCAATTAACGAATCCAATTACTGTAAGCATAAAAAACCACCAGGTAACTTACCGACGACAGAAATAAATGATTTTATTTATCTGGACAATGGCGCTGACTTTATGGGAGTTGCTGTTT